TGAGAGCTGATGGGGTAACACTTCACCAGGTAGGGCATGGCCTTCTAGTCTTTCACAGTCATTTCAGAATGAAACACACAGCCAGGACTTGAATGTAGCAGACAGACACAGCTCAGGGCGGCTTTGCTACCAGATGAACCCCCAGGAGTGCTCTCTCCCCAGAGCCAGGTGTGCTGGGAAGCACAGAGTCATCTCACCCCACCCCAAGTGATGCATTTGTTCTCTTCTGAGCTAGACCAAACTATTTCAGTCAGTGCATCACGAGGACTCTTCAGAAAGTGCCTCAGAGCAATTCTAGCCACAGACTCTTTAAGGCTTTGCTAAGAGTAAGATGCAGAAACAGAGCATGAAGTAGAACTCTGAGAAACTTCTTTATAAATAAGCCCTGGACAGCCAGGTGAGCGATTAGGAGACATTGCTTAACTGTCCACAACCCTTTCATGACTTTTGAGTCCAGCATCTTTTTTGTTTTTTTTTTTTCCCCCCCCTAAGATCAAGTAATACTTAAGACGTCACACACAGCATGCACCTCTGATCCTATACTGGGAAGACTAGTGCCTCCTTTCACAACGTGAATGCAGACTGTTACATGTCCATCAACACGCACTGCAGACAGTACCATTACGCTTATCTGCAAGTTTGCTGTACCTCCAGAAGGGCATCCTTATCGGACACTGTTCACTCATTGCTTTTCTCTGGAGAGAGGAGGCTTGTATTTATTTAGGCAAATCCTTGGTACTCATCACTAGGAGAATGGCATTCAATCCTTACTTTATTGTTCTAGCTGCTATTATTTCACTGTTGTTATGCATAGGTTTGGTAAAAGCCATCAGAATCCCTCATTCTATTATGTCATGCTGATACTAGAGCATCTTCATATATCTCAAGGTAAATTGTTCCCAGTAAATTAAAAAAAGAGCAGCTGCAATAAGATACAGACTGAATAAGGATGTCAGAGATTTTGTCTAGGTATAAAATATAAGTAATCTCTCTCACCTTCTCCCCATATAACACACACACAAGTCTGTTGTCTATAGCATGCCAACAAACAGAGGAAAAAAAACTTTGAATTTATCCAGTTTTCTTTTTGTTATGAGAAGGTTGAAGGCATGACATTGATCAGGCAAAAAGTTATCACCTTATGTCTATGTAACATGTTTGCAACAAATCAGCTCTCAGGCAGTATAAATTTAGGGTGATTTATAGACGAAGGCAGAGATGACATGATCAGTATGCAGAAACTTTTAGTAGAATAACCAGTAGCTAGAGAACCTTATTAAATGAGATTGTAAGCTAGTATGTGGGCTGCATGCAAACTAGCTTGTAAGAGTAGCTCCTGTACAGCACAGGAGCCAGGCTGCTGTCTAAAATGCTTCAGAGGTCCGCCCACAAAGATGCGGCATATTTCCACTCATACATGACTAGATTTTTATGGAAATACAACATAATTGTGGGGAAGGAGATAGTGTTTCATTAATGACTTAAGCCCTTGTCTGTTAGCTAAGCTGGAATAATAAAATAAAGAATATTTTGATATGTTTTCCTAGATTCATACACTAATTTCTTCAGACTGAACAGTTAATTCAGTACTTGTATTTCATTTATGCCTTGGTTTCCTACATGAGGCCTCCTTGGGTTTTTCCATTACAGTTCTGAATACTTTTCTATTACTTTGAGCATCTAAGCAGCAGCACTAATTACTTTAATTAAATGTAATCAGACACTAATATTGTATAATATCCCCATCCACTAGTTAACTTAGGTGTGCAGTCTTAGGTCAGTCATCCTTAATTGACCTTCAGTTGAAGCACAAGCAAAGTCATTCTGATCACTGGAGTAAGTTTACCATTGCTGAACTTTCATTAACCATATGCAACAGAGTTAGCAACAAGCATGTATTGGAGAGATTCTTAAGCGTGAGCTTCCTAGGCATTTAGAAAGAAATCAAAGATTGCATCACAGACTTACGTGTCTGGGTGACGAGTCTAACCTTTGCGGTGCAACATGACAATATTGGAGCTCCACCTTCTTGGCTTGCAGGTGATAGGCTGCTGTGACAGGCATTGCACAGGATGCAAGGTTTCCCTGTCAACAACAGAAATAATGTATGATAAAACATCCCCTCATATCAGCTATTTTCCAGTGCAGCTTTTCTGGGACGATCCCAGTTGCATCATAAATTCTTTAAGTAATATGAACTTGAAGATAATGGACTGCCCTGTTTGTCTCGCCATTTTATTCTACTTACCATGTCTACTTTGTTTATTTATTTTTAAAAAAGCGTGCTAAAGAAGTGTTTTTACCAATACCAAGATTATTTCTGCCCAGAAGGTTTGTTTTTTTTTTTTTTTAAGTAATACTAGAAACCATTCAAGCAAAATTTCCCTTTTAATATTGTCCTTCTTTAACCTACAGCTCTACAGTTTCATCACTAATTTATTCTGTTAAATAACAGCACAGGGGGATTTATCAAGGGAAATGGGGCTCTCTCAATTAACCTACACTTTTATTTTAGGCTTCTGCATAAAGAGGGATTTTCTCTCCGACAAAAACTGAAGTGAGATCCTATGGTTTTTCTCTTAAGAAAAAGCACAAATAATTAAGTGTGCTCTGTTTTATTTTTAATTGCACATTTATTTTATTCATTGTCAAAGCATTAGCACTATCATTTAGCATACTCTGGGAGCTTCTATAGTCTTGTAAGTCTCCAGTGGAAGTGGGAATTGACTGGTAGGGTAAACAGAGGAGCCAAAGAAATTTTTAAGACCATACTGCCTGTTCATTTTTCTGATCATACAAAGCTTCTCTTATTTTAAAGGCCTTCCATCTGACCTTCTAGGGGGTGGTTGCACACAGGGTTTACTATTCAAATAAAAGATCACTGACATAATCTGATGTGGGCATCTACAATTCTAGCTATTGTGGGTGCTAGTCCCTGATCTTTGCTTTCCCAGAGCCATAGAGCATTACACTATCATCCCTCCGTATAGATTTCATGTAGTACATACTAAGAGTAGTTACCCATTTTGGGCTTTGCCTGTGAGCTGATTTGATTGTCCATGTCAGGTGTTAAGAAAAGATACTTCACCAGTGAATTTAAGGTATTAGTAGCACATGTTTACTTCAAAACTGTATGCAAGGAAACTTTAAGCTTTGCTAGCTCTAAGATCAGTTATGGCTGGATCCCTTCAGGGCTGTTTGAGCTCACCTGCATGAGTAGCACCTGCAGATGCACAGACAGGCTAGCACAAAGAAAGAAAAAGCTTCAGCTGAAAACTGAGATCTTTTGTAATAAAAGTAATATCTGTGGCCGATAGCTTATGAACTACTGGAACAGGCAGATACTCAAAAACTGCAAAACACTTTCCATCACTTCTGTGTAGATACTTGTGCTGAAGTTTTGCTTTGCAAGCAATAGCCTAAGAAGAACCCTAAAGTTTATCTACTTTTGTAGAGAAGTTACATGAAGTTATATATTAACCCAACCAAAGGTTTACACCTAAGTACACTCAAATTTTAAGGGCAAAGAGAACTGGGTTGTTCTATAAAACGTGATAGGAAAACACTCACCAAGATCAGGCATTTTCCTGAGGCTACACTACTCAGAAGATACTTTCCACCTGTCTCCCCTCCAAGGAATATCTTCCCAACGGGTTAAGTCTACTACAAACACGAGGGTCAAATCCAAGCAATGCTCTGTGTCGCTCCCACTAGAGCAGCCAAAAACTGCAAGCAGAAACAAGCATTCACACTGCAAAATCCCACATACAACTAGCTATAGCAACCGAAAAGCTTTTTATAAGCAGCTGATGGGTTGTTTTCAGCTCCACCCTCTGGGCAAAACACCTGCCCCAAGGACTCAGCCACATGCTCCTTCCCCAGTCTGTTTGTAGACTTTGTCACACAGTTTGTAGATTAGAAGCATGCTTTGAGGCTCAAAGGTTATGAAAACTTTTAACAAAATGCAAGAAGAAAAAATAAATCCAAAAAAGGCATCAGCATTCACACCTGTGAAATTTCTGCCTGCTGCACAGAACTACAGAATAATTCTGATAAAGTCAGAGTTGCCTTATAAACTTCAGTCAGGGGCAAAGTCTGCAGACACAAATTTAAATGCGTCCTTTGTGTATCTTGTTAGTTGCTCTTCACCCATTTAGTCAGAATTTTTTTCAGCATCCAAAGAGAAGTTCAGATTGGTCTTGGCTATAAATTGCAGATTAGATGCAATATGAACCTTCAGCCTGCAGTTACCTGATGAGAAGCGGTATATAGTTACATCACATTTTTCGTTGTTTTCCAGTTAGGGGCACAGAATCTTTGCAAGTAACTCAGCTTGTCAGAAATCAGGCGCTCCTCCATGTTCCAAGCGATTGCATGTACAGGGAAGGAATATCCTTCTTCACAATCACAGTGTGGCTTTTCCAACAAGATTTTTTTTTTAGATCAAAACTCTGACTAAAGAAAGGTTTGCATGAATGGAACAGAAATGAGTAGAACCTGCCTAGAGAGCAGGCCTGTTCTCTGGGGTCACAGTGTGTGAGCTTCTCTTACAATAATGCTGTTTTTCCTAAAAAAGATCTACTAAATATGAACACTTTTAAAAAGTGGAGTAGAATGGAACAGTTTCAGTCCAAGGACACATTGTATGTATGCAAAATTAGCATAAGGACTAATGAGCCACATTCCTGTTACTAGGTAAATATTCTATAATATTAACAGCAAAGGAGCTATTCAAAATTGAATCTGGGATTATATCTAGGTACCTTCAAAAGAGAAAAAAAACCCCCTTCTTTCCTGATACAAAAATATATGAAACAACATGTTTTGGTCTTTGCATATGAAGTTTTAAATTTCAAGTGCTAGATGAATTTGCCAGTTTTCAGTTTCAGTGTATGTATGTAGGCAGTATGACAAGTTTAATTATCTGACTATTTGCCTTGCATGTATTTCTCTAGTCTTCCCAGACTTTTCTTAAACTTGCACTTTTTTATATTTTGCAGTTCCCTCCTTTTGGGGTTTGGTGAACTCAGCTTGGAATCTTTGCTCTGTTGGGAAAAGACAGTCACCTGTCAATATTGAAACCAGCCATATGATTTTTGATCCCTTCTTAACTCCACTTCGCATAAACACAGGGGGAAGAAAGGTATGTGTTCTATCATGTTCTGATATAAAAACAAGAAGTTAGTAGACTTACAAACATTTGCTGTATTTTGTATTTCTAAAGCATTTACACTTTTTATCTCAGTCAGCTCTGAGGCAAAATAACAACACCACAGTGCTTTGAAAATCACACAATTTCATACTGCTGGAGAGGGAGCAACCATAAATTTTTAGGTGTTGTCTAGCATGTATTTATATTTTCATATTAACTGTTACTTGAAAATCTGCTGTCTGGAAGAATAGCATCTCACTTAGAAACTCCACATTTATAATGAAATTTCGTGTTCATTCTGAGTGGCATTTTAAAGGTGCTGTTCTAAAAGTGTTGCTTAAGATCACCAGGACCTTCTTTTATTCATCTAAATGAGGATAACATTGCAGTGCCATCACGTTAAAGGGTATGAAGAGATGAGTGAGCTTCTTTATGTTATGAAATAAAAGGAACTATGAGATACATAGCATGGGACAGGCAGATAGATGTGTTCAAAAAGTGATCTAGTTTCTGTGTTATCTACAGCATATTGGCACTCATAAGAAGATTTTTTTAATTGAACATCTCCGTAAATGGCAAAATAAGTAGATCTCCAAGGGTATTCGATCGGGTGGAAATGATAGGTTAGCAAAGACTATCTTGCTCATATAAAATCAGCATGATGATTTCTTGTTGAAAAGTGACTGCCACAGCCAACTAGTTTATTAACCTTGTTTCTCACCAAACCTTAGCTTGTTTACCCAGATTTGGAAAGTATATCTTAATGAACTGAGGTACAAGACCAGAGTCATTCTGGGTTAGGTAATGTGGATACATGTGGCTCAGGCACCTAGACTTCTAGGCTAGTCCATGTAGATTGAAGGTGGAGACAGGAAACAATCTTGACAAAATGATGCTCGGCAAATGGATGGAGATTGGTGTCCGAGGTACGTGTGCATATAGAAATACTGCTGATAGATGCTAATCAGTGATCATATCCTCCCTTTTTTATACTATAAGTTATGTTAGGAGCTAAAATTTGCACGAGGTTTTTATTGTAGTAAAAACCTTAAGTTCACTAAATGTTTCTACACGTTTTTGCAACTCAGATATTGAAGCATTGTGCTAATGCATGTATATAAGTCAAAATAATTCAGAAGAAATTATTTATGACTCTGAATTTGAAAAACATTTAAGCATGTGCATTTGTGCTTGCTGACCCAGTGCTCAGAAGCAGAACTGAAACTCTTATATGTCAGTGAAAAAATGCAGAAAGCTAACAAATCTAAACAATGAAAGCAGATTTGGATCCCAAGCATGTTTCACTTTTAATAATCTCATGCTCATATCAATAGCATAGTTAGGGATATTTTACGTACATGGTTCTTAAAATTATTTTCTGCTAATTCGTTCTATTTATGTTTACGAAAATAATTATACTTAGCAAAATTAGGAGTGCAGACAAAATTGAGAGTACAGCACCAAAAAAATTTCTGAGACCTACTTGGTTCCTAAATTGCCCTTCAAAGCATTTCAAAAAACAAACTGATACTAATGATTATGCTTAATGATTTTTCTTTCACTAAAGAATGTATTCACAGTACGGAAGTTTGAGGACAATCCTCAAATAACTAAGTTATCAATTCTATCCAGCTGGAGGGTTGATATTTTTCAATTCTAAAATTATTTCATAAATAAAACATCTTGAACCTGTTAGCACTCTTGGAAATAGCCATTAGTTCAAAATGGTTTTGTGTTGCTTCCCTTATGTAGGGGTGCTTAAAAGGGTAGTTTAAAGATTTTGTTGTTTATTCCATGCAGGCAGTTCTCTCATTCAATCTGTAATACAGAGCAAGGCAGATGAAAAGGCATTGTGACTTACAATATAAGAACAAGCAGAGACTCTAAAAAAAGGTTATTTCAAAATGATTTATCTTCTTCTGTTGTCTTGACAAATGAGATTTCTGCTGGAAACAGCATGAGATGTTAGGAATGTGCTCTGTACTTCCCATTGAGGTTCTGTTGGTACATGTGCACATACATCAGAATCGATGCAAGCTTCATCACAGAAATGATAAAATGGGGGTATCGTTACTTACTGAAGGACAGTAATGCTTCCAACTATGGCCCAAATTTTAAGGTAATACGTACATTTTGCTTTTTAAACAGAAATGCATTGAGGTTTTTCATTTTGACACAAAAGAGAGTTTTATTGATCCTGCTATTTATGTAAAGGCAGACATATTTCAGATTATTTATACATTACAGTATGACATAATATGAAAGTCAAGAACAAAATTACATGGAAGTTGTCAGTGGGTCAAAGCCAGGAGTTTCAGAATATTTAATATCTTTAGCAATTCTAAGAGTTCAACTGTTTTTTTGTACCAGCTCAGGATGAAGCAAATGCCTGATTATTAATAAAATATCAGAGGCATCGATGACCTGGGACATGCTATTACCACACTCACAAATATTATCCTGTTGCTGTCAAACAGTCTTGGCCTTCTATCATGTTATAAGAACAGGATTTGTTCTAGTTGTGGTTAGTCTGTTTTAAAGAGGTTTCTAAAATGGTTGAATCAAAATTCTCCTTTGAGGAAAAGACTGTAATTTTAATGCTTTAAAAAAAATTCTTTGCTCATAGTTAAGGCTTCAGTGAGGATTTGATTTGGCAGGTAGTGTATTTGTGTTCACTTTTTTGGTAATGTTTTTTATATGTTAAAAATGGAGGTGTGTTTCATGTGGGCTGAAGCACTTTAGTTTTCAGGGCAATGGACCAATTGATGTAGCAGCCAGGGAATTTCTTAGGCAAGACTTAACTGTGATTATGCTGTACACGAAAGGATTTTGTGGAACTGATGCTAAGAAAAATGATGAATAAATAAAAAAGGGATTTGATATGGTTTCAGATCAAAGTTATAATAAGCTAGCTTACATGCGTAGTGAACAAGGCAGACAGCTAGTTGCACACAGAGTCAAAATTATACACCTCTCTTGAAAAGGGAGCTGGGAGGAGAGTCAAGCCTTAACAGAGAGCTAGATGGAAGGAAACATTCAGTACAGTTAGTCTTGGAAAAGTGATTTCAAATTTTTAACAAACTTTTTTGCTATTAAAGTAGAAATCAGTTTTGTTTGAGTTCCAATTTTGGAAACAACGTTTCTACTTTGTGTGCCTCACTTTTGAAATTAACTTAAGAAGGAACAGAAGAGGTTCGCCCACAGGAACAGAATCCAAGACCAGTCTAGAGAAATCCAGATTACACATACCGGGGTGATATGATCACTGACTTAATACTTCCTCTTAACTCTTTCATTCCTTAACACTTGTTTCTCTTGGGCCTTTATTTTTGGGGGTGGGGAGCATTGCTTAATTTCTGTAAACCAGTTACCTGTTTAGTTCTCAATTTCCACATCAGCAGACCAAAACTGTTCCAAACCATTCCATTACAGAATTTGTGACTAAGGATTCCACCTTAAGTACATACCTTTCTAGCCAATTCCATTAGAGAGCTTATTTTATTTCAGTATTAGAGTTTATTTTATTTCAGTATTAGTAATGGAAGGCATTTTAGTAAACTAGATTGGGACTTTCCTACAATCATTTAGACCACTTGGGAATAAAAATTTAATTTTCTTGTTCCTAAAGAAAAGGAATGGTCTGAAAGGAAAGTATGAAGGACAACATCACTGTCTTCCTACCCCACGGCCTACGAGGGGAGAAAAGTACAGTCTGTGGCCTGTTACATGGCAGGAGACTTAATAGTTACTTCTGACCTGAGGCTGAGAAGAAACTTCTTCCCATTCCCTGCAGGACCAAAAGGGATGGCAACGCAATGCCAAATATTTATACCTCTTTGATCCAATTTTTCACAATAAAGTTCCAGTGAGCAATAATATATTGCTTAATGCGCTGCCCAATGATTGCAGTGCGGTATCGGGTCACGCAATTTACAATTCAAGCATCATCAGATGTTACTCTGAATTCTGCTGTGTTATTCTGTATGTTTGTGCTTCTCCGTTTCCTGAGAAAGTGTCTTTTCAGGTCTTGAAGGCTGAATAGCATTGATACAGATAATTGGATTTCAAGATCCAGAATCTCAGCACAAGATATTTAATGAGTTTACATGCAGATAAATTCCCCAGAAGAAATGTTGCTTTTGAGGAAACTCCCCAAGTTTCAGTTCTCTCTCAGGCCCAGCTTTGTCTCTTGATTATCCATTTTAGTGCGTTTAACACGCAGCCCATTTCAGATAAACAGTCCTTTTTAATAAACAATACAAACCCTTATTAATATGCAAATTACAGTCCTTCACTCTGTCACAAAGAAAAACACCATTTTACTTTCTCTGCTTTTTTCTTCAGATTCACATAAGCACCAAGGCAATCAGCAACAGGACAACAGAATAACTTTACTGACGAGCCAGTGTAGTCTAATGACATTTAGGCAGCAAGCACTATGGGTCTCAGTCTCCAAAGCAGGGATTGCTGAACTGTCATGGATGATAGTAGTGGGGGAACAAATCACCTCACTTCCCACCGAGCTAGTCCCCTGCTGGGATTTCTTCCTCCATTCACCAGTGCTGGCAGTCTCTGTTCTCCAAGAGCTCTGCCTTTGGTCCCCCAAAATTTGTCTCCTGACTTACCTGTAGCCCATCTGCCTTTAATCTCCTCGTTCTCTGTGGACTTAATTTCAAGAGCCGTAATTCCAAGATTCTTTAAGACTGAACTACAATTCGTGGCCATACTTTTTTTTTTTCTCCTAAAAACGTGTTAAATAACAGCATTTGCTTTAGACACTAAGTGCATCCCTGCCAATTAATTAAACCGTGTCATGTAAGTGATGCCATGTGTTACTAATCATGTTAGGTCATGCTCAAGGACTTAAACTGTGGTTTAAAGCGGTTAAAGTTCTGTTTAAAATCACTTTATTTTTAAGACAAAGGCGGCCATTGTACCTGATGTTGACCTCTGGGGAAATAAACAAATCGATGTCTGCTGGCCAAGGACTG